ATCGTTGGGGGGGGGGGAGAGAAAGGGCTGCCTGAAGTCCAAATTGTCCCCCATTTGCCTGAAAGTGCCTCTCCAGATCTGTGGTTTGCCCCAGGGGCAGGGGTATGTGTGTGGCATGGCTCTAGTGGACGAACCCCAGTTCATTGCCCAGGTGGGACTCACCTGCAGGGCGAGGGCGGCTGTCATCAGGAAGGCGCACACACACATCCCCGCCAGGCCCAGCATGTGCAGGGTGCGTCTCCCTGCCCGCTCCACCAAGAACACCTGGAGAGGAAGGAGGAGGGAGGAGGAGGAGGAGGAAGAAGGCAGCGTCAGAGAAAGCAGAAAACGTAGAAGAACTCAGACTACCAATCTGCCTTGCTCCACAACACCTCCTCTTGTTGACAGTGGATCCCCAGGTACTCCAGCAGAGACAGAACTTTCCCAGCACTTGCTCCGGGAGAGGAGAAGAAGAAGAGATTGGATTTATACCCCGCCCTTCACTACCCAAGGGAGCCTCAGAGCGGCTTACAAACGCCTTTTCCCTTCCCCTTCTCACAACAGGCAACCTGTAAGGTAGGCGGGGCTGAGAGAGCTCTTTCGAGGACTGCTCCTGAGGGAACAGCTCTGAAAGAGCTTGTGACTGACCAAAGGTCACACCAGCAGCTGCATGTGGAGGAGTGGGGAAATCAAACCCAGTTCTCCCAGATTAGAGTCCGCCCACTTAACCACTACACCAAACCGGAGGTGTCATGGGGGGCATGAGTTCAACCTGCTGTCCCCCCTCCCCCGCACTCCCGCTTGAGTAGGGTTGCCAGCCTCCAGGTGGGACCTGGGGACCCCCTGGAATTACACCTCCTCTCCAGACTACTGAGATTAAATTCTCCTGGAGAAAATGGATGTTTTGGAGGGTGGTCTCTATGGTATTGTACTCCACTGAGGTCCCTGTCCTCCCCGGGGTCCATCCCCAAATCTGCAGGAGTTTCCCCACCTGGATCTGGCAAACCTACCGCCCCCTATCCCCTGCTGGTGGTCCGGGGGGGCCCCTGCTGAGGTCCCTCCCCTTCCTTAAACCCCTCCCTCCCCTGGCTCCACCCCCAAATCTCTAGGAATTTCCCAACCCTGAGCGGGCAACTCTACCCTTGAGTCTTGCTGACTCCTCACAAGCCGTGGCTGAGCACCGGCTCAATTTCCAGCCAAAAGGATCAGGTGGGAAGTGGCGTGAAAGGACCCTTCTCTTCCCTGAGGCTCTGGAGAGCAGCTGCCAGTCTGAGTAGACCATACAGTCCTTGACGGACCGGTGGTCTGATTCAGTATAAGGCAGCTACATAGAATTGTAGAACCATAGAGTTGGAAGGGACCTCCAGGGTCATCTAGTCCAACCCCCTGGACAAGGGAGGAAATTCGCAAAAAAAACCACCTGCAGTGACTGCTGTTGCATGCCCAAAAGATGACAAAAAACCTCCAGGAAAAATGGCTTCCTGACCCCAACGTGGCGATCAGCATTTTCCCTGGGCGTGACCACGAGAACTAAGCCCTGAGGCAACCCTTCCTGCCCTCCCTCTCGTGATCTGCCTGAGTTCACAGTATCTGCATGGCTGTCTGATGGCCATCTAGCCTCTGCTTTAAAAACTCCAAAGAAGGAGAGCCCGCCACCTCCCGAGGAAGCCGTTCCACTGAGGAACAGCTCTAACGGTCAGGAAGTCCTTCCTAATGTTTTGCTGAAAACTCTTCTGGTTTAATTTCAACCCGTTGGTTCTGGTCCGACCTTCTGTATTCATGTGTGTTCAAGCAGTGGAGAGAGCTTGCATCCTGATCCATGTTCACAGGAAGCAGAGGGAGGATGTGGGATCTCTGTGTCCACCTGTCTATAAGAAATGCCTTAACAAGACTGCAGCCTGTTAGACAGACCACGGTGATCTCAATGAGAGTCAGAGGTCCCATGACTGGACATGTTGCATCAGCCTAGAGGAGGTGCTTCAGTGGCTCAGCATCTCTGTGCTGATTGGATATTTGCACTGATCCATGCGTCTATAAGTCTGTGCTGTATGTACCACTGTATGCCAGTATGGTATCAGGTAGCTTGGCGAAGCAGTTTGTCGGTTGAAACTGTGAATGCTTAGCTATAAGGACTGTGTATAGAATTTAAATGAAAGTGTAAAGAGCACCAACCTAAGCCGGTGTGTGCAAGTTCTATATGACTCTGCAACACTCACTATGGGAACAGGAGAGATATCATCAGCCATTCTTGACCGCAATACCGTCTCTCTGAAGCGGGATCCCTGAAGCAGACCACAGTGAGAACACTGGGAGGGCCTGCGTGGTTTTTGGAACTGAAGGAGCAGGCCCCACCACCCATCCGTTTGGTGGAAGTGAGCGTGTCAGGACCACGGGCTCTTACCGAAATGATCGTGAACACCGTGTTGATCACCCCAGCTCCAATGGTGGCGTAGGCAGCGTTGGTCACCTTCGCCTTGGTGAAGATGTCAGTTGAGTAATAGAATATCTAAAAGAAGAAAGTGGGACAGAGGCTGTCACGGACGGGGTTCCCCAGTCATCACCAGTGTTCCCTCTAAGCTGAGTTAGTGTGAGCGAGCTCACCGTTTTTTAGCCTCTGGCTCACACATTTTTGCCTTAGCCCAGGAAGGATGGCTCCGGAGCAAACACATTTCTGCAGCAGCCAAATCGCTCGCTCACAACTTCAATGCCAGTAGCTCATAGGGTAGAATTTTTGCTCACAGGACCCCACAACTTAGAGAGAGCAGTGGTTGTCACCAGAGGTCATTTCGTAGAAAAAGAGGTGCCGGAGCTCATTAGCATAACTCAATCTCATAACTCATTTGCATATGCCACACCCCCTGGCATCACTGGAAGCGTGTCAGAAGGCAACACCCACCGCTCAGGCTCCACTGGGCTGTTTTGAATTGCTAGCTATTGGGGGGGGGGGCCCCCTGCAAATCTGTCCTCGCAGAGGAGGGAGAGCTCGTACATGAATAAAACTTGGTCTTAAAGGTGCCACTGGACTGTTTTGGGGGGCTCTGCAACTTACCTGGCTGCTTCTTGCTCTGACTGAGGGCTGCTGAGAGCAGGGGGTGGGGCTTGTTGCATGTGCCCGCCCCCTGGGCTCTTTATTGCCGGAGCTCTGCTCCTGTGCGCCCCTGCAGGAAAGGACCCCTGGTTGTCACCCTCCCACACTCCCCACGTTCCTGCACCCCTCAGCCACCCACAGCGCCAACTCACAGCGTTGATGCCGGACAACTGCTGGGAGAGCTGCAGGATGACGGCGATGAGCAGGGGCTGGCGGTACATGCGGGAGCGGAAGAGCTCCAGGATGGAGACCTTGCGCTCCATGTCCATGCGCCGCTTCTCTTCCTTCATCTCGTTCAGGGCGGCGCTCACGTCCGTGCAGCCCGTCAGCCGCTTGAGGCCTGGGGTGGGGGGCAGGACAGAGAGAGGAGCTCTTCAGGGCGTGCTGTGGGGTTGGGTGGGGGGAACCAGGAAAGGGGGATATCTCTGGGGAACAAGGGGGTGGCTGACCCAAAACAAGAGGGCCGGTTTTGCAAACAGACAAAAGCTTTGTCAGGGCTGCCAGGTGGAGCCCAGAAACCTCCTGGAATTCTAACTAATCTCCAGACAGCAGAGATCAGTTCCCCTGGAGAAAGCAGTTTGGAGGGTGGACTCTGCCCCACTGGGGTCACTCCCCTCCCCTTCCCACCCCAAACCCAACTCTCCACCGGATCCACCCTCAGATCTCTGCAAATTTCCTTAACCCAGAGCTGGCAACCCTACAGAAGAAGAAGAAGAGATTGGATTTATACCCCGCCCTTCACTACCCAAAGGTGTCCCAGAGCAGCTTACAAACTCCTTTCCCTTCCCCTCCCCACAACAGACACCCTGTGAGGTAGGCGGGGCTGAGAGAGCTCTGACAGAAATGGCTCTTTTTCAAGAACAGCTCTGACAGAACGATGGCTTGCCCAAGGTCATCCAGCAGCTGCAAGTGGAGGAGTGGGGAATCAAACCCGGCTCTCCCAGATTAGAGTCCGCGCACTTCACCACGACACCAAACTGGCTCTCTCAGAATACATTCCCTTGTTTCATCAATCTTCAGGGAGCCTGTAAAACTGGGTAAGCTCGTTCTCCTTTTCAGAAGGAAGGCAAAAAGCATCGCTGGTTGCTTCACGGTGTGTGTTGCCAGATCTGATTGCTTAATTGGTACCATGCTGGCTAAATGGCCCCTGGTTAGCCGGATCACAAAGCCGGCCAGAAGAAGGGCCTTCTTTTAAAGAACCAAACAGAAACTGGGGAGCAAAACTGAGCAGAACTGTTCGGCAGAACTGTTCGGAAAGGGAAAGGGTTTGGGGCACTGTTCCCTCTAAGCTGAGTCAGTGTGAGCTAGCTCAGAGTTTCTTACCCTCTGGCTCACACATTTTTGCCTTAGCTCAGGAAGGAGGGCTCCAGAGCAAACTAATTGACGCAGGAGCCAAATCGCTCGCTCACAACTTGAATGCCAGGACACAAAGTGGAATTTTTGCTCACAAGACTCCACAGCTTAGGGGGAGCCTTGGTTTGGGGTGGTCTTTTGGAGAACACGTTGAAACGCCTCCTTAACATGGAAAAGATTTGACAGTGCCCTTGTTTGGCTGAGCTTTAGGAATGAGGGAGACGGCAGTAAAGGACAAAAAGAAAGGAACTGGAAGACAAGTGGAGGAAAAGGGAAAAGCACAGGGGCGGGGGGGGGCGTTGGTTGGACAGAAGGAATCGGCAACTCTGGAGGAAGGAAGCTGGTAAGCCGGGGAGGGGATGGAATGGAATGGAGACGAGGGGGCGAAAGGTAACTGGAACAAAATCTGGGTGAGCGGAAGGAATGTGAGGATGGAGGGAGGCTGACAGTGGGTGGTAGTTAGGGTTGCCAACTCCAGGCTGGGAAGCTCCTGGAGATTGGAAAGCAAAGGTGGGAGAGGGGCAGGGCTTCAGCAGGCTACCATGCCTCAGAGCCCACCCTCCAAAGCAGCCTGTAATCATTCCATTTTTGATGTGTGTGTTTCTTTAAATGTTTCGTGTGACTGCAGTACTGTAAGGAGAGTGATAGATGGAGACAAGTGTGATGTGATTGGCTGATGACTGAGAGTGTGGGAGGAGGGGTGTCTATGAGAGTGATTCTCTGTGTGAAGTTTGGAGAGAGAGCATAGTCTCTGTGACTATGGGAGATTTTGAGTCTATTCTGTGTGAAAAAGACAAACGGTTTAGTCTGTGTGACTATGGACGTTTTTGAGTCTATTATGTGTGAATAAGACAAACAGTTTAGCTTGTGTGGCTATATATATATATATATGAGAGAGAGAGATTAGACTGAGTGTCTACGTCTGTCAGAGTGGAGTTTTGGGAGTTTGAGAGACTGTTTGTGACACCAAGTTTTGCCAGTTATATTTACAAGTTCCTTTCATCAGCAGCAGTTCAAAATAACCAGTAACCTATTTTGTTCTTTATTAAATAAAACATGTTTTTGCTTAAACTTTATCCCAGAACTCAGAATAGTCCTTTCTTAGGGCCACATAGTCCTCTGAAGTGCCCAGACCCTGGGTCATTCTACCAAAAGAGAGGGATTTGGAATTTTTAATTCCTGGTGGCAGCAGAAATCTACCAAGTTTAGATACACAGACAGTGTCTTAAAGTTAAAAGCTGTCTCCCCTATAAGCGAGGATGACACACAGCCGTTTTCTCCAGCAGAACTGATCCGTGTCATCTGGAGAGCTGTTGTAATTCTAAGAGAACTTCAGGCTCCACCTGGAGGTTGACAATCCTAAGTGGTTGATGGACAGGGGAGTGGAGAGAGGATATGAAGGAGGAGGAGTAGATTTGAGAAGGAAGGTCCTGAGCGGCAGGGGGCAAACAGACCTGGGGAGGGAAATAGAGGGCCCCCCCACTGGACAAGGGATGAGACGGCGAGAATCCTGCAGGCGCCTCCCTGGGAGCCAGCCAGCCAGCCCCACCGAACGCCATGGGACTTGCTTCCAAGAAGATGGACGGAGGGATGGAGATGGATTAGGCCAGGGCAATCGAGGAAAGGATCCTGGGAGTGGGAGGGAGGGAGGCGGATGGATGGTGGGCACCAGACTGGGGGGGGGTGTGGCGGCACTCACTTTCTTTGGCCTTGGACTCCTTGTTGCGGATGATGTAGAGGTACCGAGGGCTCTCCGGGCAGAAGGGGAAGAGCAGCAACTGGAGCGCGGAGGGCACCACGGTCAGGCCCATCAGGAGGGGCCACAAGAGCTTGGTGCCCAGGATGGTATCCAGGCCAAACACCTGCGGGGAGAGAGAGAGAGGGAGACGGATGGTGTGAATCGAGCCCTACGTGGAGGGTTCCAGGCAGAGAACCACCCCCAGTGAAGCCATCCAAACGAAATCAGTGCCCACCCTCCAAAGCAGCCATTTTCTCCGGTGGGACTGATTTCTGTCATCGGGAGATGTAATTCCGGGAGATCTCCAGGCCCCACCTGGAGGTTAATCCAAAAACGGAGGGTCACAGTGTTAGGAAGATATACAAAAATACATATCACTGCATGCAATAAATATATGTTTATGGTAGAAAAATTTTATGCTTTATTCTCTTTCTCTTTATATTATTCAATAAAGGTAAAGGTAAAGGTTCCCTTGCTCGAAAGCCAGTCGAATCCGACTCTAGGGTTGTGGTGCTCATCTCCGTTTCAAAGCCGAAGAGCCAGCACTGTCCGAAGACATTTCCGTGGTCATGTGGCCGGCATGACTAAACACCAAGGCGCATGGAACGCTGTTACCTTCCCACCGAAGTGGTACCTATTTATCTACTTGCAATGTCTTGCTTTCGAATTGCTAGGTTGGCAGGAGCTGGGGCCAGAGACGGGAGCTCACTCCATCATGCGACACCCGGGTCTCGAACTGCTGAACTACCGATCTTCCACAGCCTGCAGTTCAGCGTCTTAACCACTTGAGCCACCGCAGCTCCTATATTATTCAATACTGTTGTCTAAATATTGGTATCAAGTATTATCAAAAATATATTTCACCCAAATAGTACATAGAGAAGAATATGTTCCCAAACAATACATCGAGTGCAGGTTTACATTCAGACGGCACCTTGTCAGTATCACAGTCACCAGTCCCACGGGACTCTAGTAATTTACCCATTTTGAATGAATCTTTTTCAAGGACTGCGATGTGTATATAAAGGACATAAGGCGCAATAATTTTTCTTTGCAAGCACAAAAGCTCTTAAGATAGCAGCATCGTCGAGGGTCCCATCAGAACCCTTGTGGCAAACATAATAACCTATCTAAGACAGCCTATCTCTCAAATTCTATCAGGTACCTGCACTCGATGTATTGTTTGGCTGAAACATATTCTTCTCTATGTACTGTTTGGGTGCAATATATTTTTGATAATATTTGATGCCAATATTTAGACAACACAGTATTGAATAATATAAAGAGAAAGAGAATAAAGCATAACATTGTTCTACTATAAACATATATTTATTGTACACAGTGATATATATTTTTGTATGCCCACCTGGAGGCTGGCAATGCCAAGCCCCCCGCTGGAAGCACCGCATGGGGAGGGGCTGTGTTCTTTACCTGGGCGATAAGGATCCCCGTGACGATGGCCAGTTGATGTAGCGTTCCCAGCGCCCCCCGCAGGTTGGTGGGGGAGATTTCTCCCACATACATGGGGACAAGGCCTGAAGCGAAACCTGGGAGGGAAAGGAAAGGTGTAGGGGAAGAGAGACGATGACCAGGACGTTTGTCAGATCGGTCCAGTCCCTTCTGGCCTTCTCTCAGGGAACTGACTTGCTTTTCAGGTCAAGGGGCCAACACCATGGCCTTGCCTTCAGGGTTGTGACCTAAGGTGGCCAAGGTAGAACTCCTTCTGGGATGGAGGATAGGTCTTTCGGTGGCTACTAGTCATGGTGACTAAAGAGAACCTCCCCATCCAGGGGTAGTCAACCTCTGAACACCAGTGCCAGGAGGAAAAATCAGGGGGAGACCTCAGCCTCTCTGCCCTGTTGTTGGCCGTCCAGAGGAACTGGTTGGCCACTGTGAGACAGGAGGCTGGACTAGGTGGACCTTCACTGGTCTGATCCAGCAGGGCTCTTCTGAGGTTCTTATGTTCTTAGCATCAGGGGAAGGCCTCGGCCTCTATGCTTTGTTGTTGGACCTCCAGAGGAACTGGTTGGGCACTATATGAGACAGGAGGCTGGACTAGATGGACCCTCACTGGTCTGATCCAGCAGGGCTCATCTGATGTTCTCACCAAGCTAGGATAGGTTTTATTTACTAAACCGCCATATTCAGAGGCAGTCAGTCTCCAAATCCCAGTGCCAGAAGGCAACATCAGAACATAAGAGACGCCAATGTTGGATCAGGCCAATGGCCCATCCAGTCCAACACTCTGTCACACAGTGGCCAAAAATACCAGGTGCCGTCAGGAGGTCCACCAGTGGGGAAGACCTCGGCCTCTGCCTCTGTGCCCTGTCTATTTGGAGCTCCAGAAGAACTGGCTGGCCACGGTGTGAGACGGGAGGCTGGATTAGCAACCACAAAGCGGCCGCTGCAGGAGGCAGAGCCAGCCACAGAAAGTCAGGTTATATTTAATTCTAACAGTAACTCTTCAACACTTCAGGCAGGATGCCTTTTAATCTATGCAGCCGATCAGGAGCCCTGCTTGGCAAAAGCTCCACCTGGCCACATCCACTTTCTAATAGCACTTGGCAGGTGCCAGAAAAGTTTTGGCGGGTGCCAGGGCGCCCCCGGTCCCCAGTCTAAGCCCTCCAATCCCCCTCCCTCTCTTCCGTGGCTATGCCTTGGGTGGAGGTGCCTCCCCCTCCCTCCCTCCTCCCCTCCCCCCATCCCCAGCATCAATCGTCTTTCTTTTACCTGAGAAGACGCCGATGAGGAAACGGCCCAGAATCATCATCTCGTACGACTTCCCGACCTGCGCCAGGCCCATCAGGGCACCTCCGACAAAGGCCAGGGCGTTGTTCACAATCATGGCCCTCTTCCTAAAAGCGGAGAGAGACCACAGAGAGGGCGTGTCCAGAAGAGGGCAACCAGGATGGTGAGCGGGTTGGAATCCAAGTCTTATGAGGAAAGGCTGAAAGAGTTGGGTATGTTTAGCCTGGGAAAGAGAAGGCTTAGAGGGGACATGATTGCAGTCTTCAAGTATTCGAAGGGCTGTCACGTAGAAGGTGGAGCGGATCTATTCTCTCTTGCTCCGGATTGCAAGGCTAGATCTAATGGGTGGAAATGACAAGGGAGTCGATATCGGATAAATATCAGGAGAAACTTCCTAACTGTAAGAGTGGTTGAGCAGTGGAACAGACTGCCTCAGGAGGTGGTGGATGCTCCTTCGCTGGACGCTTCCAAACGCAGGTTGGATGACCCTCTTTTGTTGTAGGGCTATCTTTTGGCTGTGCTCCTGCAGTGTGCAGGGGGGTTGGACTAGATGACCCGCCAGGTCCCTTCCAACTCTAACGTTCTATGATTCTATGATTCGATTCAGCAGCTCAGTGGGAAGGGCTTTGTGTCACGTTCTGAAACTCAGCCAAGCCAAGGTCCAGGGGCGAGGGCTGGGAGCCCCTGCCCCTGGTGCCCAGGTGGGTGGATTCGGCTGCCAGTCATGACTTGGTGCTAAAGTAGGATGGAAGGATTCTAGCCACAGTTTGTCCTGCATCCACCCCCACCCCACAGTGCGATTGCTTTAAGCCCAAAGAGGGGAATAGAAAGATCCTCGTATTGTACGCGGATTCTTTATCTGGGAGAACCGGGTTTGAGTCCCCCACTCCTCCACAGTGTAGCTGCTGGTGTGACCTCGGGTCAGTCATAAGTTCTCTCAGAGCTCTTCTCTCAAGGGCAGTTCTTGAAAGAGCTCTCTCAGGTGTCTGTTGTGGGGAGGGGAATGGAAAGGAGATTGTAAGCCACTCTAAGACTCCTTCAGGAAGTGAAGGGTGGGTTATAAATCCAATCTCTTCTTTTCTTCTTAAAGCGGAGGCATTGAACTCATTTGTTACGAGGGCTGGATCTGACATGAATATCACGTTGTCAGGCCAGGCTGGGCCATGTGTGTCGTAAAAAGTAATGCCAGGTACGGGAGATATAAACTTTATAAAGGACACAGGCAAACTCAATTAACAATATTATTTTTTACTCGAAATACAAACATGTTTAAACCATGAACAGTATCTTACTTAATTTCCTCAAAGTATCTCCCTGATGCCCACCCTCCCGCTCCCACCAGCCATTACTCATTAGCACTGGGACAGGATACGGGCACATAATGCACAGCCTTTGTCATCTGGCAATAAAGGTAATGACAAGTTGCTCACGGGCCGGATAAGAGCCCTGGACGGGCCAGTTTCGGCCCGTGGGCCATATGTCTGACACCCCTGCCTTAAAGCATTCCATGAGAAACCATCTTCGATTGGGGAAGCGCAGCAGGCAGGGAAGAGGAGCCCGATCCGAGCCCAGTAGCAGCTTAGTGACCAAGATTTTCAGGGTAGAAGCTTTCGAGACTCAAAGTGTCCTTCAACAGATACTTCCTGACTCTCAAAAGCTCACGCACCAACAATCTTGTTGGCCTCTCAGGTGCTGCCGGACTCAAATGGAGCTCTTCTACATTTCTACTGCAGACCAATATGGCCGCCCTCTGAAAGAGGAAGGGAAGAGATGAGCACCCCCCCTTCCCTAGCGGAGAAGAAGAAGAGATCCGATTTCTACCCCGCCCTTCACTCAGAGTCTCAGAGCAGCTTATAAACTCCTTTCCCTCCCCCTCCCCACAACAGACACCCTGTGAGGTAGGCGGGGCTGAGAGAGCTCTTTCCAGAGCTGCTCTTTCAAGGACAGCTCTGACAGAACTTGTAACTGACCCAAGGTCACACCAGCAGCTGCAAGTGGAGGAGTGGGGAATTAAACCCGGTTCTCCCAGATTAGAGTCCGCACACCTAACCACTACACCAAACTGCGTACAACACCACATTTATTTTTCATCCTCTCACAAGCAACCGTGCAGCCAGCACGTTAAAGAGGCCGCCTTGTTTCAACCATGTGGGCTATGTGCGAGTCCCAGTTGTGATTATCGTATTTGCTTCTGTTTCCCTTTGGAATGACACAGAAGGGGTGGCAATAGGTTATCTCTATGGATCCTTTCAGGCCTAGTGTGCAAATAGCCTGATCCACAGATGAGATAGCAGGTCGATGCAGTGATGGCAGAGCGGTTTCCTGAATCCCCTGCCCAATGTCTGCAGGGCCACTCAGCAGGTGGGAACTCAGCAGGAGCTGTTCGTCCCAGCACACGTCTGCCTTTGGCGATGAGGACAGAGCCACCGACTGAACTCCCGCCTGCAACTATTAAAAGGTCCAGGAAAAATATGAATCGCTCATTCCAGAAGAAGAAGACGTAGTAGTCGTAGTAGTAGAAGTAGTAGTAATTGGATTTCTACCCTGCCCTTTACTTGGAGTCTCAAAGTGGCTTACAAACTCCTTTCCCTTCCCCTCCCCACCACAGACACCGGCTGTGAGGTCGGTGGGGCTGAGAGAGCTCTGACAGAAACTGCCCTTTTTCAAGAACAGCTCTGACAGAACTATGGCTTGCCCCAAGGTCATCCAGCAGGCGCGAGTGGAGGAGTGGGGAATCAAACCCGGTTCTCCCAGATTAGAGTCAGCACACTTAACCACTACACCAAACGGGCAAAGAAGGTCCTTTACTAATCTGCAACAGGTGGCTTGTAAGCGATCCGTGCCAAAGCACTCTGCACATGTTCAAAGGCACTCTTATGTCTACGAGGCACAGCAGGAGACTCACCTGCCCAGCCATTCTGAGACGATGCCCACCATAAAAGAGGAGATCATGCCCCCGATGGAGAAGATGGCGACAGACAAGGACCAGAGCGTGGTGAGGGTGTCGGGGTCAATGGGCGTCGGCTCCTCTTTGCCCTGGCGCTCCATCCACGTGGCATTGTAGCTTTGTTCGATGACCTGAGAGCAAAGCACAGCGAGAGAACAGGCTCCGTGGGAAACCAGTTTGGGCGGTCCTCCCGAGCGATGACCTTGACTCCTCCCACCAAACTCAGCAAAATATATCTGCACATGTTCAGAGGCACCCTCCTGTCTGCAGTGTCTGAGAGTTAAGACCAGAAGAGCCCTGCTGGATCAGACCAGTGGTCCACCTAGTCCAGCGTCTTCTTCGGCCGCCCGGATCCCTGCAGAAAGCTGGCAAACAAGACAGGGAGGCCAAAGCCTCCCCGGTCGTTGTCCCCCTTAGCGCCGGTATTCAAAGATGCACTGCCCCTGAACATGGAGGCTCCGTTTTGTCATCGTGGCGGACTACTGAGGGACCTCTCCTCCATACCTTTTGAGGCGCATTGATGACACCGATGTTGTAGCCAAACTGCAAGGACCCCAAGACTGCTGTGAACACCGACAAGACCAAGGTGGAGGTTATCCTGCTCCCGGTATCCTCCAAGCCCTCCTGCAAAAGTCCAAACACACACATGAAAAGGGGTGCAGGCTCCCTTATCTCTGGCATCACAAACACACTCTGTGTGTGTGTGTGTCCTGTGTTGTGAGCAGGGGTCATTTCCTGCAGGAGCGCACAGGAGCGGAGCTCCGGCAGTAAAGAGCCCAGGGGGGCCGGCACATGCAACAAGCCCCACCCCCTGCTCCCAGCAGCCCTCAGTCAGAACAAGAAGCAGCCAGGTAAGCTGCAGAGGGCCCCCCCCATCCCAAAACAGTCCAGTGGCACCTTTAAGACCAAGTTTTATTCAGGTACAAGCTCTCCCTCCTCTGCGAGGGCAGATCTGCACGTCCCCCCCCCCCAAATAGCTGGCAATTCAAAACAGTCCAGTGGAGCCTGAGCGGTGGGTGTTGCCTTCTGACACACTTCTGGTGATGTCAGGGTGTGTGGCATATGCAAATAAGTTATGCTAATGAGTTATGCTAATGAGCTCCTGCACCTCTTTTTCTACGAAATGACCCCTGGTTGTGAGACAGCATAAAGAACCCAAGACGCTTCAGGGCTGACTGGGAAATATATTTACAAAATCCTCCTGAGAGACTCAGCACCAAACGGAGACAAGTAAATAACAAAACATGTTATCTCGTTCCCCGTTTGCATTTTTGGATTAGCTCCTCCTGCGTCCGTTGGATGAAAACAGCAACTGCCTGGAGGTAGCATGTAGCTTGCGAAAAGATGCTGTAAAGCTCAAACATGGGTGTTTCACAACCAGTGACAGTCTTCTATGGTTTCCCCATTGATGCTGCAGCTGCCGACAGAGCCCAGCATCAATGGAGCTTCCACGGAGCCTGTTTCGCTACCATTTCCCTGTCCCAGTCATCCGTGGTGGCTATTCCCCCTGCCCTATGGGGCAGAGCTTTGGGGAAGGGGTTTTTACAAATTTACAGTCGACGTATCACTGTAAAGTTATAACCATGTCTCTCCGTTTCTGTGAAATCTCACCTGTCATTTAGTGTCAAGTCAACTGAATGCCCTTTTCATTGTGGAGGTATAATCAGAGGAGTTAGAGACTGTGTTTTAAAATGAAAACTGGGGATTCAGAGAACCTAATAGACTGTGGTAACATTAAAATATGTCAATCCAGCCATCCAGCAATGGAAATGGCACTGATGTGGGCAGGACCCGGAAGACCGTCCTGGACTCCGCCACCCACGCGGGTGCCAGCCTTGTTTAGCTGTGATCTTTCTCAAAATTGCAGCAAAGTGTCAAGAAAGATGAGGGAAACCATGGAGATGCAAGGAAGCGCCACAGATCGGGAGAGGGGGACCTGCATCCAAACTGGAACAAACATCCCATGCAGGCCCGTAGCCAGGGTTAGGGTTAGGGGGCACTGGCGAGTCAAATTAAAAGTAATCTGATTAAAGAAAGTGGGGCGCAGGAATCCCGTGCTACACTGATCTCTGCTCCAGCCGCCAGCAAGTTCGAGTCTCCCTCCTGCTTCGAGCATCTAGTCGACCTCCTCCCCCAGAGGTCCTTGGCTGGAGCTGTCCCTCCTGGGGGACGAAGGCCATGACGCCCTGGGCTGGATGGGAAATTGGGGGGGGGCTTGCCATTAAGTCAAGGGGGGCTAGCCCCGAGACGCCCCACTGTAGCTACCGGCCTGATCCCATGGGTAAATGGCCAGGTAGTCATTTATTTATGTATCTGATTCATTTATACCCCACCTTTCTCCCAGGTTGCTGCATGACGGAGTGAGCTCCCATCTCTAGTTCCAGCTCCTGCCAACCTAGCAGTTCGAAAGCAAGAAATTGCAAGTAGATTGCAAGTAGGTACCACTTCAGTGGGAAGGTCACAGCGTTCCATGCGCCTTGGTGTTTAGTCATGCCGGTCCCATGACCACGGAAACATCTTCGGACAGCGCTGGCTCTTCGGCTTTGAAACGGAGATGAGCATCGCAACCCTAGAGTCGGACTCAACTGGCTTTCGAGCAAGGGAACCTTTACCTTTTTCTCCTCCGTGGGGACCAAAAACAGCCGACATCCTTCTCCTCCCCTCCATTTTATCCTCACAACAACCCTGCGAGGTAGACTAGGCTGAGGAGTGCATGTACTGGCCCAAGGCATGAGTGGGGATTCGAACCTGGTTCTTCCACATACCAGTCCAGCGCTCTTAACCACGACACCCCACAGCAGCCCTCTTGAGCAGAGTGCGTAGGGCGCCTGGAGACCTCTCGCTAGTACACTTGACCTTCAGACAAGCAAGGCCAGCTCCCCTGGGGAAAATGACAGCGGTGGAGAGTGGACCCACTGGGGTCCCTCCCCAAACCCCGCCCTCCCCAGGCTCCGCCCCCAAAACCTCCAGGCCACCTTGGTGCAGGGTGCTGGCAGAGCAAGGGCCGGATCCGGTGGGTTCTCCTGGGGCTTTTGTGGGAAACCTTCCTGGCAGGTTTATTTGTTCCGGAAATTTGACCGCCCCCGACCTCCACACCTGATGTCAAGGTGGCTCTGAACTGAACCAAGAAAGCAAAACCCAGGAAGGCAATAAAAAGGAGTCAATAAAAGAAATCGCCCGATAAAAGGAGTCAGTAAATTGTGCCTGACATTATGAGAGGGAGGGCCAGAGGAAGGATATCTCTCTCACAGCTACCAAAATGCCTGCCTTTTTAAATCCCGCCCCTCGATATTTCCAGAAGGGAGATTTTACTCGGGCCAAGTGGGGTGGGGTGGGGGCAGTTTTCCTTCTAAGCTGAGTGAGTGTGAGCCGGCTCACAATTTTTTAGCCTCCGGCTCACCATTGGTGTCTCCGCTCAGGAAGGACGGGGCTCCCGAGCAGACGAATTCATGCAGGAGCCCAATCGCTCGCTCACCACTTCCATGCCAGGAGCTCACAAAGTAGGATTTTTGCTCACGAGACTCTCCACAGCTCAGAGGGCACACTTGGTAGGGGGTAGGATGCACCCCAGGTTTAAAGCCCTTGCTTTCTGGGTTCCCACTTCTGCCTGCCAACCTCCAGGTGGGGCCTGGAGATCTCCCAGAATTACAATTGCTCTCCAGACAACAGAGATCAGTTCCCTTGGGTGACATGACTGCTGTGGAGGGTAAGCTCCAAGGGTCATTTCCCTGCAGGAGCGCACAGGAGCGGAGCTCCGGCAGTAAAGAGCCCAGGGGGCGGGCACATGCAACAAGCCCCACCCCCTGCTCCCAGCAGCCCTCAGTCAGAGCAAGAAGCAGCCGGGTAAGTTGCAGAGTCCCCCCCCGGTCCCCCGGTCCAAAACAGTCCAGTGGCACCTTTAAGACCAAGTTTTATTCAGGTACAAGCTCTCCCTCCTCCGCGAGGACAGATCTGCACGTTTCCCCCCCCCCAATAGCTAGCAATCCAAAACAGTCCAGTGGTGCCTTCTGACACACTTCCGGTGATGTCAGGGGGTGTGGCATATGCAAATAAGTTATGCTAATGAGTTATTCTAATGAGCTCCTACACCACTTTTTCTACGAAATGACCCCTGGTAAGCTCTATGGCCTTATGCTCCACCGAGGCCCTTCCCCTCCCTAGGCCTGGAGCTGGCATCCCTCCTCGGCGGAATCACCCTGCCAGTGTTTTTGTCCCGGCTTCCCCTTTTCAGCCTGGCATGGAAACAGGAGGAAGGGAAAGGAACGGAGACCTGTTGAGAGGCCGAGCTTGGCCGGGGCATGTGCGTGCGAGCGTGCAGGGCGTGTGCGTGTGCATGGAATGCAAATCAGCCGCCTTCCGCCAGCCCCTGTGCCGCTTCTAAGGTGGGGCGCCTGGGGCAGCCTTTCCCATGCCCCGGGTGGCAAGGGAAGTGTCAATATTGAACGGTGCCGTTATGAAAGCCGTGGGCCACGCTCCACCACCCCCAGCCCCCACCGACGCCACCACTGCACACAAAACAAGCCGGCTCAACGCAAGCATGGATGGGTAGCCCAGGAGGTGACCTGTTATTTTATACCTTACTTCAGTTCTAGCCCGCCTTTGTCAGGAAAGGCATCTCATTTGAGGGCAAGAGGAAAAGAGACCCTCCTGTCCTTCTGCGCCTTGCACCAAAGCAACAAGCATTTCAGCGTGATAACTGCCGCCCCGCCCCCAGTCAGGCAGGCTGCAGCAGGCTGGATGGAGGCCTCCGGTGAAGGTCAAACACCATCCAAGCTCCAAAGACAGCGAGAAGCACCGCAACAGAGGTCCAGCCTCGCACCACCGTGCACTCGCCTTGCACGGGCCTCGTGTCCGACCCACATCTCACGCGTAACCTCGGAGGGGGGGGCCTGGAAGGAGACTTCAAGGTCAAATGTCACCGAAGGCCAGAGGAGAAGCGTGAGACGCGGCAGGAGGCAGCCGCATCGTCAGCCTCGTGCCCACGCTTCTTGCACCACAGGCCTCTTGTGAAACTCACTGCTTGCCTCGCAGGTAACGCCAGGACCTCCGGCCTGGCAGGAGGCCTCAGCGCGAAAGGGCGTCACGAACAGTGCAAAGCAGAAGGGAAATGTGGGGGGACGTCTGCCTTCCCAGGACGTTTGTGCAAAGGACATTCGGAGGTCGTGGCGGGGCCAGGCACGGATGCGCAAAGACGTGAGAAACTTTTGCCCAGATTCTTACGGTTGATATGGCACAGTTGTGGCCGTTTTTGGGCTTCTTCCCGCACTTACATAACTGCTCTGTGCGGCGTTCAGGCGGTCTGCATCGGGCTGGCCCCCCCCCCACACACACACATGGATCCCCCTCCCAAGGAAAATATCGCACCCTCCTCCAGTTCCTGAAACGCTCACAGCTTATCTTTGACCATCAGCGTCCACATTTCTGTTAAGGACATTGTCTTGCGGCTTCCTTGTCAGTCTGCTGGGACTTCCGGTGCAATTTCTGGCATGCCCAGACAGGGCAGGCAGAAATGTGCCATCACCCAGCTTCTCCCTCCTTGCCTTCCTAAATGGGGGGGGGGGTCCCTGTCTCTGCTGCCAACCCCCCTCCCGCACACCACTAGCGCCCTCGGAGGGTAGCACAGC